GTTGTCAGAAGACTAGAAAATCGCTATACAAGCTCAAGTTCATTAACCATTTAAACTGTGCAGTTTGTTGTGTTTCATCCTGTTGAATGCCTTAACAGTGCCGGCCTGTCAGTTATTGTTCCTTTCATTAGATGAACAGTTTAGATTGGCCCGACCTGAATCAGGGCGGATGGAAATCAGTCTGAAGGCATCTACCTGTGCTAATGACATTTAATGGATAGAATGTTTGTTTTCGTGAGTATTTGGTATTTTGAGCTAAAACAATAAGTACACAAGTTGAAAAACCCAGAACAGACACCGTATGTGGGCTGATTTTGGGAAAAATGCAAATTAATATTAGCTCAACTGTCTCTTTTCTTTCTTTTTTTTCAAAATAAAAAGAAGTTTGTTGCCGTCTCTTTGTCTGGATCCAGACACCAGGAGGAATAGATCCACAAACTATTTGCATCCTTCTTGCGTTAATGTATATCTTCAGTGATGTTGCATCATTATTGTAACAAGGCAGAGTTCAACCATGGGTTGCTCTGCCACTAGATGTCTTGGAGATCTGTACAGTAAGTTCCCCCTGTGCTGTACCAAAGCAGGTGACGATATGTAAATAGTTCCTGCTTTCTGTTCTCCTGCTCTCCTTTGTTCCAGCGGCACTAACAAAGGTTCAGATCTGATCCCTGAGAACAGTTGTCTCTCTCGTTCACTCTCTATCACTGCAGCAGGAGCAGCAGAGACAGAGCCTGAGGTTTGGTTCTTAGCGGGACACGATGCTGTCAGGGCATCAGGTGAGAGTATGTACGGTGCCCCCTCTGCTTACCACCTCTCTAATCCACTCTCCTCACTTAATCAGTCCTGACACAATGCCAATTCCACAGTGGGAGGCGCGCACAGCTTTATTCATAGATGTGGCAGTCAGGCAATGATCAGCTCCCAGACCCTGCTCACCTTTCAGCGTCATGCTGTATCATGTTGCGTTCAAAAAAAAGTAATATTTTTCTTAACCTTTATTGTTTTTTCTGAGATCTAGTGGACCGACAGTTAACAACACCCTGACAATTGTTTGTAATGTGGATTCTCTTTTAATGCTTCCCCATTGTGTATTACTACAGATAGGATTTCTGTCACTAAAAAGCAGATGGTAGTTCACCTGAAACTATAAGCCTCGACATACGGGAAAAACAGAGGAGAATAGGTGCAGCTTTTAACCCAGTCACCGCTGAATTTAAGTGCCAACTTCAATGAAATTGCTGCTAAGTTTCCCGAGGGCAACAGCAAACAATTTACTGAATCGAGCCAGACCTAACTGAAAAATCACGTCTGCAGCACGTATAGCTGCTGTATGATTTCTATTGTTGCCTCTGAAAAGCTGACAAGGAACTGCGAAGCAATCATAAAGCATGCAGAGAAGCAATTTCTTTCTCTTATTCAAGTGAAAAATTATTCCGTGCTGTCACAAAAGACTCCCTAACAAGGTGCTTTAAACTCTCTGGCAGAGCATTGCTGCAGGGTGTCAAAGAGTGGATAAGGTATAAATGAAGCTTAAACTCAAAAGTCTGTTTCTGGTAATAGCAGCATTTCTTCCCCTCTCCAGCGAGCTTTTGATGTGGAGCTAAGATTAACAGTGTTAAATTGTCCTCTTCACTGTCTCAAAGTAACAACACAGGTATAATGAGCTGAATCTTGACAACAAGGGAACTTCTTTTGAGTCTCAGAATACTAAACTGACTTATTGTTTTTACTTGTATGCAGATATTTGTACAATAATTCAACCCCCCTGACATATAATACAAATTCATCATGATTTGTATTCATAAAAAGTCAAATAATTTGAGTTGACAATAGAGGAACCACAAAGGAATGATTCATCTGGTTCTAATGCTCCACAATCCTATCCTGGCTGTTCATGGTCCAGTAGGAGAGGACACACAAGGTGCCAAGAATTCGCAGAGCTCAGACCCAGCTGGCTCTGCAGAGTGCTCCAACAAGGCAGAAAGATTTACACATCGAAAGTGTCGATCCTTCAGAGTTAACGAGGCCTACTGTTTGGACTTCCAGCCGGCTGCATCCTGGGCCGGGCCTAGCAGAAGTCATGCTCCATAAAGTTTCAGGTGCTTTTTGATACATGGTGGACAGTGATCAGAGCTCAGCTTTGGTAAAATGTAGGGTTATATGCTAATTTAAGCACCGACCACAAAGCTCCCAAATTTGTTGGACATACTTATTTGGTGGTAAAATGTAACCTCATGTAAAGACAAGACAGAAAGCAATGTTGCTGAACTTAACACAGCCTTTCTTAACTGTGACTCAACCCTGAGTCATATGGAAAACATTAGATAGGAAACAATTCCCATTAAACATTTCCTGATGTGGACATGAATAGATTTATTTATGAGAGTTTATTTTTTTGCTTTTAAAGATCAATGGCAACCACAATAGAAACAGAGCAGGAGGATACAGAGTACAGTTTCTGTGTGAGTGTCTGCTCAACCTGCTTAAACTCTTTAACTACTGCAGTTCAAGACATACCAAATATAGTGCCCATGATTCAGGATGTTTGTGGAAATGTTATTTCATGTTGGTTAGAGCTAACGGTTAAGAAATAAGCTAACGGCTTTGAAATGACACGTAACATTTAGTATCCACAGTCACTTTTTTAAAGTAATAATTCTATGGCCAATTCCCCCCTATTTATAAATAAACACATTTAAAAATATATTGATTCTATTCAGTTAGTTAGTTGGTTGGTTAGTCTGTTGTTTGGTTGGCTCCTTTGTTATTCTGTTGATTGGTTAGTTTATTGGTTTATTGGTTGGTTGGTTGGTTGGTTGGTTGGTTGGTTGGTTGGTTGGTCGGTCGAGTGGCCCGTGTTCATTAGTTGGTTTGCTGGATTGAAATCTTACAGGTTGGTTGGTTGGTTTTATATTCTGACAGGGACAAGCATGAAACAAGTAAATCAATGCCACACACTCCAGCACTTGTAACCTCATCTAATTTTCAACGACCATCCCTAGATGAGCCTATAATACACATAAAACTTGACAACAAATACATAAGAGACAGTAAGATATAAACTCAACAATAAAACAGACAGAACAAAGAAGAATGTCAAATATACAATAAAACTCATCAAAGGTGAAGTATGAGATCACACATGATTATTTACTCTCTAAGCTTGACTGACATGTACAGCCAGACAAGTTAATGAGCATCACAAGCATACAAATGTAATCTTTAATGATTCAGGAGGTGTTTGTGACACACTCTATAATTACTGTTTCATACTGAATACAAAAACATTCAACACTCAATTCCATATTGACTAATCTGATTCTTTTATGCGACACAGTAAACCACGGATAAATTACTACAAAACCAAGCCGGTCGCAAACATTCACCCAGCTCCCCGATGTCACAATTAGGAACACCTCAAAGGTCAGCTCCGATCTCAGCCTGTGTTACAATATTGAAAATCAAATCTACTGTAAAGATCCAGACGGCTCCGGATCTAGGGAAGGTCATCCAAGAGTCACTGATTTTGTGAAAAAGCTTCACGGAACAGCACAAAAGAGTGTCAAGTTCAGGCCTCCAGGGTGTCTGCAAAGGACGCACACACCTGTGATGGGATTGGCTGTGAGATGAGGGATTGGAAGATGGGGGAATGGGGATGATTGACAGAAAATGTCAGGCACACCACATCAGCGGTGTACAGACACACAGCAGGCAGGTGTCAGCGACTGCGTGATAAGAGGGGGGGGCATGCTCACAAGGAAAGGATGGAAGTGGCCTCTTCAGAGAGTTATGTCATCCTTCTGAGATCTCTCACAGATGAGGCCTCAACACGAATCACCACTGAAGTCTTTTGTTCTGAGTGTATGACTAAACAGCCATCTCCTGACCTAAACCCCTAATGTGCAACGCTTACAAAAGTAGCTTTCTTTTCATGTGTGCCTCCTCTTTCCCTCCTCTTATCATTTAAAAAAATACAAGGATTAGCCAGGGTCACAGTTTTTTTCCCCATGCTTGTGTTGTACAGAAGGATATGCACAACCTTCTGGGCTGCAGCACCAGCGGGGCCTGAGCCAGGGTCAGATATCTCAGAGGGGAAACCAGACTCAAGATCATCTACTGCATGTTGATTACAGCCAATGCGTTCTTATATGACCTTGAGACAGCCCTACATCCTGATTTATAGAAGTCAGATTTTTTGTAAACCATGAACTCCAACCTAAACATACGCAATACCTTCATTCTCTGCAATTGATGGAGTATTTATTAAAAAATCACAAGTGATGCTCACCATTTACATTTGATCTTATAGCATGTTAAAGCCTTTTCTCCACTTCTGTTGGTCCAAAGATTTAGAACAAAAAAAAAACAGCTTTAAATATGCTGCTCTTTATTCCTGAAATAATGTTGAATATATTAAAGAGAGAGACCCTTGAGATGCAGCATCTCATATTCAAGGGTGTCCTAACACAAATACAAAGTAAAGCACAAATTAAAGTAACAAAACAGCTTTACTGCACAGACATAGACCACCATCACACAGATACAGACAGCTACAGACCATAACTTAAAGAGAAATATCTCAATGCTGATCACATTGAAGCATTTTAAGACCATTTTCAAGGTTAGAAAATTGTACTCTTGTTCAATATTATTGTTTCTAAATTGTAACTGCAACTGTTTAGAGAATGGTACCTTTTTGTAATCGGTTCTTGCCCTAGTATAACATATGAAGTTGATTTAGTGTCCCACTGGTAATTGTGTGTGATGGTTGTATTGATCTGTTTGTATGGTTAATGTTTTTGCTGCAACAGTGTTTGTTATTGTCTTTTGGATGGGTCAAAATAAATAGTTTAAGGCTTTAACCTGGTTCATTAGGAATAATATTTGTATCAGTTGTAAAACAAACTTCTAAAATGTTCTTTCTTTTTCTTTTCACCTCTTTTACTTATACAGTATATATTGACTGTAAATCACAGCTATGTTTCTCATCATGTTTTCAGGGAAGTGCTTCCATGGCTCACCCTGAAGATGAGCTGGAGCGCCTGACCAAGAAGATGCTGTTTGACATGGACAACCCCCCATCTGAGGAGTATTTTGGTAAGCAAGATAACCCACACATCATAAAGACATTTTGACATGTCATAAGAGGAAAATTCCCAGTAGGTATAAATTACAAAGTTAAAGTTGGACAAAATCTATCGTTGCTTACTGGAATTGACCAGTTGTTCTGTCAACATTAACATTAGGAGAGGTCAAACTGTCTACTGGCAAAAAGGCCTCAAGTCTTTATAATAATAATTAATTTATACTTTATTGATCCCACGAGGGGAAATTCATTTTTACACTCTGTCTAGTTAACATGCTACACAAACATAGGCCGAAATACACACACATGCACAAACAGGATGCTACGGACATGTACTAATGGAGAGGTCTCAGAGTGAGGGGGCTGCCCACAGTGGGCGCTCCTGACCTGGTGGGGGGGGTTAGGTGCCTTGCTCAAGGGCACCTCGGTAGTGCTCAGGAAAGTGGACTGGCACCTCTCCAGCTACCAGACCGATTTCCGGACTTGGTCCGTGCCGGGACTTGAAACGGCGACCCTCCAATTCCCAACCCAAGTCCCTACAGACTGAGTTACTGCCGCCCCCATAGCCATAGCCATAGCATTACTACATAATAGGGATGTTCCGAGGTGAGTCATTTCCCAGTTGGTTAAACAGAAATTAAATTTAGACGACCAGTCGAAAGGTAACAAAACACTCAAACAGTTAAACAGGGTAATTTGGTTTGCAGAGTGTGGATAACGTTCAGTTATTGCACCGCCAGCCTTCAGCCCTTCTACGTTAACATCCACATGGCCGTGCTACATGTGGTTACACTTGCTCCAGTGGGTATGCAAATTTAATCTGACACAGCATACATACATTGTTATCTCCATTCTGGTGTTATCCATTCACTGTGCTTGTTTACATCCATCCAGGTAGTAGAGCACAGAGAGCAGGCCCATTAACTGGAGTTACAGCCTCAACTAGTGGCATTGAAGGCCAAAAAATATTAATAATTGGTCCAGCCGACTGGTAATTCTGATGGCAAATTGCAAGAGTGACGATGTTTAACCTTGAAGTTGATTAAAAGCACACATCTCTCTTTTGTACTGTACATCCACTCACTGTACTGTTTTGACTCACTTTTTAGCATATGAAGGTAACCAAGCAGAAGAGCTTTTCATCTGATGTATTAGCATTGACTAGTTATAGCATGCTAGCCAGACTTGGTTAGACTCTGTTTCATGCCCAGTATTTACAAGCTAGCAAATTTAAAAAGGCAGACTTTGAAAAAAATCTAATATATATGTTTTACTATTTACCACTTGCTGCTAAAAACATTTGTAGCTAGCAATACAAATGTTATAAATAGAATACCACGTACAGCTACTAAGTTGTTAGTGATTAAAACCCAAAGAGAACATTTTGTTACTTTCAAAGCATTATTTTGTTTGTTTTTAAGATATGTTTCTGGCCGTCTTTGCCTCTACGTTGTAGGACAGCTGAAGAGAAAAAGGAAATGTCAGGAGGAGAGAGAAGGGGGTGACATGCAGGACAGGGCCGAGGTTGGATTTGAACCCACAGCCGCTGCGACAAGGACTGTAGCCTCCGTACATGGGGTGTGCAACATAACCACTAGGCTTCCGATGCCCCTTTAGGTAACATGTCTCAGATGTAGAGCTGTATGAGCCAGTAAGACAAAAGATCAAATGGATAGAGCACAATTTTTTTAAACATTTGAACAGAAAACTCCACTATAAAAATAACAGTTTCAATCATCTCTTACTGTTGTCACTTTTTTAACCGGACACATACATATATCTTTATATACATCGTCTTTTTTTCAAAAGAGACATGTCCCAATTTGAGCTACGAGTAGTACCCTCATGAATCAAATATAACAGCAAACACACACAAAATGAAATTGGAACTGTTTTTAGTTTATAGTTTTTTCTCTAGTTTTCCTTATGTTGTGGGGGCTGGGGGTCCTGAATACTTTGCTTCATTTGGGAGTATCCTCATCTATCAGTTCTGCAGTTCGTTTTTTTTTTTTTTTTAAGATTTATTTTTGGGCGTTTTGTGCCTTTATTGTAGAGATAGGACAGTGGATAGAGTTAGAAATCAAGGAGCGACAGAGTGGGGAAGGACATGCAGGAAAGGAGCCACTGGTCGGATTTGAACCTGGGCCGCCCGCTTGGAGGACTACAGCCTCCATACATGGGGGCGCACACTCATCAGTGCGCCACCTGAGCCCCAGTTGTGCAGTTCTTACGTGGTGTTACATCCTGTGATCTGACACACCAGTTACTTCACATTGTAGCACAGGTGAGAGCTGCGAGGGGTGAAAATTAGCCTGTGAGTCCCTGTTTGATTCACATCTTACTCTTAAACCAGGGAAGGCTTTGCACACACATAAAAATACTTTTTAAACCTCATCATGTGGCACTCTGTGACCACATGATAAAATGCTGGCTTCAGATAAAAACAGTGAAGGTAACAGAGGAACTCAAAGAAATCAAGAACCCCTGATGTTCTCTCTTTTGTTTATGTTGCAGAGGAATGACCTACACTACATCTCAATCTTATTTGACACTGTGTTTTCGATCCACATGAACTGTTTTTGTCGTTCATTGGGAGTTTCCTTTCCCTCTTTATTTTGATTTAGTTGGAGTGAACCCAGTGTTGGAACCAATCAGCTCTCATCTTACATATCCTTTGGGGGCAATAGCACATTTTCTCAGGGCGTCTGGTGCAGCAGTATGAGACTAAATTTTCTGTCTGTTGCTTTTGTTTACATAATGGATTTAAACTTGAAAAGCAAAAACTGAGGTGGTGTTGAGAACTATGAGTAAGAGCTGATTGCTTGCTGTATTTATAGCAGATACCAAAATTGTTGGAGGTTACAAAGTAACACGTTCCTCCTAACACTGTTCATACACCACGAGGAGTCCCTGTGAAAGACAAATCATTAGTTCATCACTTTGCATACGTCACAGAGCTGTAATAAATTAAATGTGTTGAAATGGCAGCTGCTCTTCATCACATTTCATAAATGTTTAAACTGGATAAAGACAATCAGAAGCCAACAGGTTCCTCAATCCGTCCAGAGAAATCCAAGAGAAAAAACCTAACACCATGTCACACTTCCACTGATAAAGGCTGATTAAAACGATGTGGAATAGTGGGTTAATGAAACAAAACTGTCATAAGGTTTCCTAGATTAGCCAACCCAATGACCCACAAATGAAGTTTTGCATGACAAGCAGCATGTTTTTGGGAAATGGTCTGGAAGATATTGAGTAAAGTGCAGGTGTGAGTGTTACAGACGAGCCTAACCTTGTATTCTTGGTGCTTCTTATCCGTTGATTTCAGAGTGTAGACACAGCAGCAGCATTTCTTACCGTCTGGGAAACAGTCCTCAAGGTAGAGTCTCAAAAATATAAATCAGTGTGATCAAAGGATAAGGCACAACTCCTGCTCCGGAAATAATGAGAATGAGAGATAGAGGCCTCGGACAGATGAAACACACTGATTTTGATAAAACTCTGTTTCTACTTTGATTGTCCAGCGGTGTTTTTTACTGTATTTCTCTGAAGCGCCTGATATTTAATTTTTCTCTCTCTGAAAAAAAATATAAATATAACTGCCAGGATTAAACAAAATAGCAATTTTTAATACTATTTCACCAAATAGGATTTAAAAGGCAAGGATTCTGTGCATTTATATTTCATTTCTATTTTTCCGCCCTCTCTACCCTCTGCTGCCAGCAAGTGCCATCCGCTCTGCTGCTGTCTCTCCTCGAGCCTTTAATCCCCTTTGCCCTGGAATTAGTTCCCATGCCCATTAGATACCTCACTCAATACATTCAATGGCACTCTGGCGCGGGCTTTATATCAGCACATAATCACACAGCACACCACGATAGCATGTGTAGGTGTATTATAGCTACAGGGACATGTATTTAACTGGTATTAAGGGATATTCGGCTCCACGTTTTTGCACACTGATGTAAAGTCCTTAATTGGTTCACATTAGACATAGGTCAAATGGATCTGCTGGCTTAGGCAAAGTGTAGTCATTTTACACAGAGATGGCCCTCCAAAGCCTGGTTGGCCTCATTTTTCGGTGAATGCGTACGCGATGCAAGCCTGGCATGAACTCTGTGTGATGCTATACCATGCGTGCACCTCCTGCTATTCGTGAACCATAATGGCGGCTGGCTGACTGCTGTTAAAACAAGGACATGGGAGTTGAGAAATGGGTCATATGTTAGCCGAGGTAGCCAGGACAAGTTAGGGATAGCGTGTGCGTCCCCAGCTGACAGCGGCTGGCTGTTTCATGGAGCAGTGTGTGGGGGGAGGAGGGGGGGAGGAGGGTCATCTTGTGGTTAAACAAGGCGACAGCTGAATTAACTGAGAGATAGAGAGAGGATGAGGGCAGGGGCCTCGGCTGAGGTGACTGCAGGGACTCATTAGGAGAGAGTTCAAGCGCAGGCACACGCTACTCTGCAAATCCACAGAGCCCCCCCGTCCTCCCCCGCTGAATAATGTACATATAGACACCACACTAATGTTAAAATCGCCTTTAGTCCGGCTTGCTCCTCCCTCTATATCCAGTGGCTGTGGGAGAATCAGTCCCAAAGCAAGAGACTTTTGTAATTACAAAGAATCTAATGGAGCACAATTCTTCCTTTTTGTTGGCTTATGGAGGGGAAGAGGGCTAGCCGTGTTAGAGACCCTAGGGCTAGCAATTAACAAGATTAATCAAAGCGGGGCTGCGATCTGTAGCGCGCTACTGGACTGGATCATTGTCTTCCTATAGCAGACTTTTATTGGTGTCACTAATGTCTTTGATGAGCTTCTAATCTGAAACAGCTATAGAGAGCTTTCATTGGTCCGGAGGGGTTTAATTGAATTGAATTAACGTTACACTCTTGCTCTGTTATGTCACAGGGAAACTTTTCATTAGACTCAACAGAAATTCATCTGTAGCTTCTTAGTTACACAACATTTATTTCTATAGCAACTCCAGTCCTGCAATCACATCAGTCAC